TTGTTTTCTTTTGTAACATGACTAATACAGAAATGTGTTTTGCATGACTGCACATACATAACCTATATCAAATTGCTTGCCATCTCAAGGAGGAGAAGGAAGGAGAAAATTTGGAACTTAAATTTTTTTAAAAAATGTTAAAATTTTAAGCAAAAAAAAATAACCTGAAAAGCATATTTCTCTCTTAATGTTCTAACTCTTAGATTTTTGGCATGAGGCAGCTAGATAGTGCAGTGAATAGAGTGCTTTGCTTGGAGTCAGGAAGACTCCTCTTCCTGAGTTCAAATCCGGCCTCAGATGCTTACTAGCCATGTGACCCTGGGCAAATCACTTAACCCTGTTTGCCTCAATTCCTCATTTGTAAAATAAGCTGAAGAAAGAAATGGCAAAACACTCTAGGATCTTTGCCAAGAAAACCCCAACCGGGGTCATGGAGAGTCAGACACAACTGAAAAAACAACTCAGCAACAGCAGTGTGATATAATGGAAAGACTCTCCCCTCCCCCGATCTTCATTGGGTTAGAAATTCTTTACAAATCAAATTTTATGAACCTTGAATACTCTGAAACAGTTTAATTGTTCTAGGATGAGATCCAAAGGACCGTTATCATTTACTGCAGACTAATGAAGGACTCTGGAATTTGGTGCAATGGTGTTGTCCTATATGTTTTTTTTTTATTAGCAAAAGAAAATGGGAGCCCCAATTAGGGATTCCAAAAGGCAGATTAAACCCTTAAAAATTAAGTTGTGTTTTCACAGAGTAACTCTCCTGACACTTTCAAGCCAATGGCTAAGAGATAGATCTGGCTAAGAAAACTCTGAGTACCATATGGACAGTCTGGGCAGTCAGATGGCCAGCCCAGGTAACAGTCTTGGTTCCCCCTCTTTTTTTTGGAAGACATCCTGGAGACTACAGTGTCTTATAGGCAACTGCAGGGCTTTGTCTGGCTTTGTGCCTCTCTTCCAAGGATCAGAAGAGGGGCACTGCTGGGTGTCAGCTAGTGCTAATCTGGCACAATTATCTGAGTTACGCTGGGATGCTGCTAGAAGACAAGCTATTCAGCAGGGCAGCGAAAGAAATGTGGTCCTCTGTTGACTGCAGGTCATGATCATCATCCCATCATATGACAGAATTTAGAATTAACAGGAACCTTGGACACCAACTTGTCCAACCCTACATTTTACACACGGGCAAAGTGAGGTCCAGAGAGGTAGAGCAATTTGCCTAAGGACATATGGGGAATCAAATGGCAGCCAGGATTTGAATTTAGACCTTAATTTCTTCACCTGTAAAATGGGGGAGGGGGTTGAATTAGATGGACCCCGAGTTCCGTTTTAACTCTAGATCTCTGTATGATCCTATGTAGAACCTGTTTCCTTAGAGTCAAATCCAAGGCTCCTTTTATTATATGCTGCTTCTCGGTTCTGTTCTCACTGAGTTGGAAGGGGCTGTAGTGTGACCAATATCAAAGTCTCATGAGTGGAAAGGAAGTTTTCTTCAGTTGTTTCTCCAAGTGAGTGGGAAGTTGGAGAGAATTTTGGAATATGTGGAACTTCCAGGGTTTGGGGCCCGCTTGAGGTTCATGAAATTGAATGAGGCCCTAGAATCTGTCATGGCTGATCTTGAGTTTCACCCCCTGGCAAGATGGATGAAGGTATGCCTTCATGGCCTTGATTGAATTTCTGTTAGTTTAGTCAGGGTAGAGCTTGTCCCATTTTCCCCGACCTGTTCTGCTGGATAAGTAGCAGCAACATGTCTTGATTCCTCAGTATAAGCAAAGCCCAGTGTGGCCATCAGGATGAGCTCATCTTTTGTAATCAGAGCTTGGCCCCCATCTAATTTAAAAACATTGCCTTGTTTCATCCCATTGAGTTCTTGACAGTCAACTACAGAGTTCAGGATCACCATTGATTACATCCTGACCATAGTGGCTACAGTGCTACTTTGGAGGTGTGACTCTGTGGCAGGTTCTTGAATACATGGGTCATAGCATGGATGACCAGGTTCATGCCACCCCACTATCAAGGCATCAACTGTCTTCCTTCCTCCATCTCTCCTTCCCTCCTGCCTTCCTTTTCCTTCCTTTCCTTCCTCCTTCCCTTCCTCCCTCCCTACTTCCTTCCTTCCTTCCTCCCTCCCTTCCTTCCTCCCTACTTTATGGATATATACCTGTCTCCCCTTTTCCCACAACCTTTTCTTATAACAACAATAATAACAAAACAACTAAGGAAAAACAATGACAAGGTATGAGACATTCTGCCCTAATCACTGTGCCCTTCTCCCAATTCTCTGCCCAGAGAGGGAGGTATATTTCATTTTCTATTCTCTGGGACAATTATTTTTTTCAATTACTCAGAATATGGCTTTCTTTTAGTAATCATTTCACTGGGTGACCAGTTTCCAACTGTGTGGCTCTTTGACTGAGGTCAGTAAAGGCCTCCTGCAGAATCTTAGTGAGAGATAGCCCTGGATATAGGCTCTGTGGGATCCTTTGGATGTAAGTCTGGAAAAAAAAGGAACCGTTAACACTTGACACTTACTAGCTGTGTGACCCTGGGCAAGTCACTTAACCCCAATTGCCTAAAAAAAAAAGGAACCTTTCCTGATTGAGCAGTCACTACCATTTGTCTATTCTACTGTCAAAGTGCTCTTGGAGAAATCATGGGTCTAGGTAAGTCTGCAGGAGTAATGGAAGGGCTGTAAGTGGTAGGAGGGCTGAGATCACTGAAAGGAAGATCCATACTTTTGCCTAAAGCATAACTACCTTCGTTTGCAAGACCTGAAGTTCCTTAGAGTTCATCTCAATGGGATGTAATGGAAAGAGTGTTGTTACTAATTTCTACTTGTATGACCCCGGGAAGTAACCTTGATTTGTTTTCTCAGCCATAAAATTGGGGGCGGGGGATGGGCAGAAATTACATGATTTCTAAGTCCTTCTCAGTCCTAAATCTATGGTCTTATGACTTTGGGTGGTGACTTCATCATTAGTACAGTAGGAATAGTTCTAGATCTGGATTCAGAGGACATAGGTTCAAAACCTAGCTCTAACATCTCTTGGGCAGCTAGGTGGCACAGTGGATAGAGCTCTGACCCTGGAGTCAGGAGGACTTGAGTTCAAATCCATCCTTAGACACGTACTAGCTTTGTGACCCTGGGCAAGTCACTTAACCGTATTTGCCTCACTTTCCTCATCTGTCAAGTGAGCTGGAGGAGGAAATGGAAAACCACTCCAGGAAACCCCAAATGGGGTCACAAAGAGTCAGACAGGGCTAATCGACTAAACAATAAAAACACCTCTTACCTATGTGGCCCTGGACAACCTTCTTCACATTTCGTTTTCTCCTCTGTGAAATGAAAGGCGTTGGAGAGATGACCTCTAAGTTCCTTTCCAGCTCAAAATGAACAGTAATCTCATTTGCTGTGATTTCTATACCATCTGCAAATATTTTTCCTTTTGGGGTGGGAGTTTAGGGACCTGGTAATTAATTTAACTCCAGAATTTGGTAGACCAGATGGCCACAAAGAATATGGAAAAATTAGTGTGAAAATCTGACCAAAGTATTTAATCCAATTTCAGGTTTGGAAGATTTTTGAACCATTATTATACTTAAACTGAGGAATTCATGGAAAGCTTCTTGTTAAGAAACAAACCTTTAGGGAAACTCAGAACAATTTAGTTAGCTTTTCCAATGGGGATCTGGTTTTCCACTCAAAGAAAGTATTATAGAATATGTAGGAGAAAGTGGGTTTGACACCTCAAGAGTACTATATTTCCTTTTGATAAAAGACCTTATGAAGTTTAATGTGGTCATGCCAGTTTTCCACAGTATCCAGACTAGTATCAGGTGGAAAGAATACTAGGCCCTACTCCCTGTTTCTCTCTGGTTTCTGGACAAACCAGCTGTTGGATCTTGGGTAAGTTCTTGACCATTTGGGGCCAGGCTTTTCTCACCTCTAAAATGAAAGTATTGGATTGGATGATCTTTAAAGTTCCTTTCTAGCCTATGCACAGGATCAGCTGTATCAGTGATGCAGATAACTGATAAAGAAATAAACATGGATGCCATCAAGCTGTGTTTTCAAATGCCTTCTCTTTCCCATAGCAACATGGGTCCATGCCAATATGTTGGAAGAGTATATAAGCCTCATTTTACAGACGTGGAAACTGAGGCCCAGGGAAGTTAAGTGATTTACCCAAGGTCATACCAGTTGGAAGTATTGGAGTTAGGATCCTCTGATTCTTTCCTTTGCACTATAATAATGCTTTGCTGTCTCTGTTCCTCTGTTCTTGCTAAATCAATGGTTTTCCTCTTCTCCTGAAGGCATAGCAAAAGACAGTACCAGCTGTAAAGAAAAGGAAAGGAAGGCAAAGAGACAGGGGCCTAGTGGGAGATTCACAGGGAAGAGATGCAGGCACCATGGTCTTTTGCCCTAAAGCATCCAAATTGGGATCAAGGTGAATCTGTCTATGTTGGTTCCTTTCTATCAAATGACTTGGAGGATAACATGCAATTTTCAAATTACAGGGGGTTCTGAATCAAGCCAGATTCTATTTTCAGATATACCCTCTCCAAAGATCCTTTAATCAGTAAACATTTATTAAGTACTGACTATATGCTAGGCACTGTGTTAAGTCCTGGGGATACAGCAAAAAAAAGTAAAAGAGCCTGCCTTCAAGGAGCTTACATTCTAAAGGCTATAGCAGGAAACTTCTTGTTCATGTGTTAATTAGGTACTCAAGTTTGTGTGAACCTTCCCATGAGTGCATAGAAAGTGGCTTATTTCCACTTGTACCAATGACTGTATGAAAATGCAAATTCTTAATCAAAATGTAATTTTGTGAAAAGAGTTTTGCTACTATTACCTTCTTTCTTTGCTGTCAAACTCCAACAGAAATCCTTTTTTAAAAATTTAAGTAGAATGCAGCATCTGAAATACGCCTGGGAAAAATACCAAGTGTGGTTATGACTTATTCCATGTTTTTGTTTTTTGATTTTAGGAGTTGAGTCCAGAGAAGTTTGTACCCGCTCTGCTCAGGCCTTCAGTCCCAATGTCTCTTACTATCACTTCTACCCATTGGTAGGTTTTATTATTTTTTTAAATGATTCTGGTGGAAAGTACCCCAATTTTTCTTGGATTATTTTTCTCCAGACCGTCTCTTTACATAGTTTGATGTCCCATTTGAGTCACATAGTACAACAGAAAGAGCACTGCATGGGGCATCAGCGGACCAAGAACTCTGCTTTACCACTGCTTGATCTGTGAGCACTGACCAATGAACGACTTCAATTCTCAGAGTCATAGCTTCCCCATCTGTAAACTGAAACTAGTCCCTATCCTTTTTACTTCACAGGATTATTTTGAGCCTGAAAAGAGTATGTGAAAGTGTTTTGAAAAGCATGAAGTGCCATAAGAACATAAAATGTTAATGCTTATCTCCAAGACTGGGAGGAGGGCTGGGCTTAAATTATCAAGAGAATGAAACTGGACCTGTGATGTCCTTGGTACAAGAAGCTCCCGGATAAGGGAATTCTCTTGACCAATGGAGGTCAGCAGCTTCTCTGCAAAGGAAAGAGTTGCCTGGGACCACACAATCAGTGTGGGTCAGAGGTATGGCTTGAACCCAGGTCTTCCAACTCTTAAGTTCCAGGTTGGACTTAGAGTCTGCCTCAGACACTTACTAGCTCTGTGACCAGGCAAGTGATTTAACCTTTCTCATCTTCAGTTTTCTCATCTATAATATGGACATAAAAATGACACCAACATCAATCACATGGTTTTGTGAAAATCAAATCAGCTAATAATTGTGCCTGATAAGTACTAAGTACTATATAAATATTATTATTATTATTATTATTATTATTATTATTAATCATTGTGAGGATCAAATGTGATGCACTTTGCAGACCTCAAGGCACCATATAAATGCTCTCTACTGTTTCCTCTCATTTTCCCTTTTCTCCAACCCACACCGGCTATTATTTCAAAGGAAGACGTTTTCTCTTGAAAGATTAATTAAACTACACTTCACAATTACCTTCCCCTTTATTTGAGGTTAGGTAAGTCCACAATTAACAAATGTTCCTCCTCCCCAGAGAGCTACTTAATTGTTCTTCACAGCAGAGGTTCATTCCTGTTTCTATGACAATTTACAGAGGTAAAAAACTCCGCTAATTGTGATGTGCGCTGAGGTCAGAGTTAGAATGTGTGAAGGAATTTAGAGCTGCTTGATGAATTGTAGACCTCTTCTGAGAACTTTGCACTTTTAATTTAGGGGAAGGTGTTCGAGGGCTGAGGGAGACAAAAATATCACCTTTCTCCAGTTGGCCGCTGTAGTAAAAAACTTAACTGTTTGACCACAGCATCTGCCTTGTTTTTGCTTTCCCCACCTGAGGTCATAGCTGCCGGTCAGCTGGGAGAGTCTGACCCAGGATGCTTGGGCTATGACCCTGTGAGGGTCATCAGTGCCTCTGGTCTTGGTAATCTCCACCAGAATTCCTCTCCCTATTCTATAATCCTCCCAATGTTGGGATTTGGGACCAATCCCTTGGGATTTGACTGGTCTCTTACTTGATGACCTTGACTCTAAGTTTTTATCCCCCTAGGCTTCAATCCAGTGTTCTAGTCTAGGGCACAACTGTGCCTGTTGTGCTACCTGTTATGTGAGGAGATTTGGTCCTTGGCAACTTGGGTGGGCTCAGAATAATGCTGTCTACAGCAGGTCTGGACTTGGGGTCAAACTGTGAAGTAGGTGAAGTGGATCCGGGGTCTTCCAAACCATTTCTGCTCAATTCCCCCATCTAATCCAATCCGCCAAGTATTCATTAAGCTCCTTCTGTGTGAAAGGTAAAGGTCAAAATTAAGTAGTTCCTGCTGTCAAGGAGTTTACATTCTACTTAGGGCACAACAGAGGGAGACACAATATGTAAACAGATAACACATGGATACAATAGTGAACATATAGGGGCAGCTAGGTGGCACAATGGATAGAGCTCTGGCCTTGGAGTCTGGAGGACCTGGGTTCAAATCCGGCCTCAGACACTTGATAATTATTAGCTGTGTGACACTGGGCAAGTCACTGAACCCCGATTGCCTCACCAAAAAGCAAAAAAAAAAATGAACACATGTGCTGTGTGGCCATAGGGGACCTGTGGTCTCACTGATGTGGCTTGTCCTTCCAACAGTGAAGATTGCAGCCTGTTAATGCCTGTCCATCTGGTGGGAAGCTCCTCCCTGGTTGCTTACAACTTGATGGTATGCATATCGTTATATATATACCAGTTTAACTTGGATAACTTTATTTAATTTCAACTTGAAAGCTTACACTTGTATGCTTGGTCTTAATTTTTTGCTTTGACCATCTACTTACAGTGGAAAAAAGTAGAGGGCACATTAACCTCAGATGTGGTTTAGAGTAGTGGATCTTAAGCTACTTAACAAGGAAATTGTTATTATTCAGTTGTGTGACCTCTATGTGACCTCATAGACTTTGTCCATGGGGTTTTCTTGGCAGAGATACTGGAATGGTTTTTCCCGTTCTGGTGCGTCCCCATTTTACAGATGAGGAACTGAGGCAAATAGGGATTAAGCCACTTGCTCAGGGTCCTATAGCTAGTAAGTATCTGAGGCTGGATTTGCACTTCCAGACTGCACACCCAGTGCTCTATCCACTACACCACTCAGCTGCCCAGGGATACTCCATATCGAAAGAGTTGTTGGAGAATATTCATAAGCCATTCGTAAGGATCCAGTCTGCTAGTGTCTTCTCCCAGCTCCCACTGGAAACAACAACAACAACGAAAACCTTAAACTTTGTATCTGCCTTACCACCACCTTGCAGGTGTTTTGTACGTGACATATGCTTACATAAATGATTGCTGAGTCATTATCTCAGGATTTAGAACCTTAGAGTTGGAAGAAGTGACTTTATGAACGAATGGAGACTCTTTTATCAACCTTTTGATTAAACGCCATCAAATCACTGACCAACTGGGAGTCACCTCACTCTAGTTCCAGTTATGATCCTAACTAACCTTGTGACTTTGGGCAAGTCATCAAGGTTCTTTCAGGTTTTTTATCTGTAAAATGAGAAGATTAAAGTGTCTATGATCACTGTAGAGTTCATCACTCTTAATATTCTGTGATGCATATCTCCACTTTTATTCTGGGAAGAAATCAGTAAAAAGAAAAAAAAAAGCAACATTTGAATCTGTTTTTTGCCTAATTTTATTCATTAGATATTTAAAGTCCTCCTGGGGGACAAGTTCCAGTTCAGCATCCTCAAATTAGCCGTGAGATTTCTGTGACCAATCACAAGGTAATGAGTTAAGAGACTCTACAATGGCAGCTTTCTAGAAACTAGACATACTTTGGCTCTGGCTCAGTTGTCCATAGTGTTAAAGGTGTCATTGGCTGCTGTAGGGCTCCTGATTATTGGAAAAGACGGATTTTTGAGTAGCTAGGTAAGATCATTTGTCATGGGCTAAGGCTTTGATTAGCCAAGACCTCATGATGAGAAAAGGAAGAAAGCAAATAAATAAATAAACAAACAAACAAACAAATAAATAAATAAATAAATGAGAAAAGTCTTTCTCAAGAGTCCCTGTTGAGGTGAACACATGGGAAAGACATTTTACTGTGAGAGTTAGCAACAAGTATGACAGAGGACTGAGATCTCCCTTCTAGCAAGTATGGAAGGCGAGCAGGATTTTGTAGTAACCTACAGAAGGTGCATTGCTGTTTCTGTCAGTGACAAATCATAGAGATGTGTGCACAAAATATAGCTTGGTCTATCATGAGAGGAAAAGGTGAAGAGGCAAGAGGAACATGCCTCTATTTTCCAGTATATTAAGGAAGAGAATGAAATGTTCTAGTAAAGAATTAAAGAGGACTTCAAAGGATTATGAAACTGGAAGGGCAGATGGAGATCCTGATCTCTGTTAGGAATTTACGGGATGGAAAAATGTGACACAGAGAAGAAATAATTAAAAAAAAAAGAGGGACCAGTGGATTGTTGGAGTTACAAAATAAACTCAAAACTCTTGTCAGAGATGGTTATAGGTGCATTCACAGAAAAGGGGATGACTTGATAATGATAGTGCACAAAATGATAAAGCAGACCCACAGGGGCCACCAAAGGATAGGATATCCAATATTGGAAAGCAGAAAAATTCCTTGCTGAGGAGGTCCATTTATCGAAGGGGGGGGGCTTCGGAAGAGAAAAGCAGATTTAGGAAGTCAACAGCTGGTTGAGAAGATGTTATCTGAGAGTGAGATTTGTATTTCTGGACCACCACTTAAGATATAGGAATGATGAGTTCTTGGCCAGAGATGAAATGCATCAAAATCCAGATAAAATATTTTTTTGTGTAGAGTCCCCTGAATCCAATCAAGAAGGTTTTTAACTGTAAATGGAAAGTGAAGAATTAATTGTTTACATGTATCTGTCAGGCCAGATACCACAGAAAAGAATAACAGTGGAGAGGAACAGTACTTCATTGGAGATAATATCTCTGTGCTCTCAAATGTCTATATACAAATGTATAAGCTAGGTGGCACAGTGGATAGAGTGCCTAGCCTGTAGTCAGGAAGACTCATCTTCCTGAGTTCAAATCTGGCTTCAGTCACTTATCGGCTATGTGATCCTGGGCAAATCACTTAACCCTGTTTGCCTCAGTTTCCTCATCTGTCAAATGAGCTGGAGAAGGAAATGGCAAACCACTCCAGTATCTTTGTCAAGAAAAACCCAAATGGGGTCACGAAGAGTCAGAGATGGCTGAAAAATGGCTGAACAACAACAACGAATGTGTTATAAAGAAAATGAGCTAGAGACCTTAATTCGAGGAAAATTTAACTACTGAGACTGGGCAGAATGGGACTCTTGACTGGAAAATGCCTTTGTAAAAGAATGCCTTATTCAAAAGGAGCAGTTTTATTTATATAAAAGGAGTGGTTGTATAATATTAAAATGGAAGAAAATTAATCATGTGAAGAAATCCGCAAACCAGAGAAGGATATGAATGAATGAATGAATGAATGAATGAATGAATGAAAGAAAGAAAAAACACATTCTTACTGTG